ATCTGCAGGGAATTTTGCGTGAGCATGGACTTAATAACTTGTCCCTTCGTGTGCGTGCCTAAGTGCTCCTAAGGGCATCATTTGGCCTGAAGAATGCCGATTACTGGAGGTGGTGAACAGGAAAGGAGGCATCCTTTCTGAATCCTGAAGCCCAGGCTAAGATGGTAGGATAGGTTGTCAGAAAGGTCTTATTTGTAAGTAGACATTAGACATGAAGCTCCATATGTGATCATATGTGGGGTTTTTTTTGGGGGGGGGATTTATGCAGTCACCTTTCAATAAAGAGATACAAAATATTCAGTTAACAAAAGACCAAGTGATAAGGCAGGATTTTCAAGAGAGCTAGTTTAGACACATGGAAATGCATGGGGCAGCTAAACAAGTGGTCTGGCAGTGAAGCTGTTTGTGATGGAGTTCAAGCTGCTCAGTTAAAACTGCTGAACTGACTCATCCCAGCTGTGTATTCTCTTGTCCTCCTCAATGGCAAAGTTAGGCTAGCAGGACATTTATGTTACCTTGCAACTGGAATAGGATAAGAGCATGTAAGTGGACAATTATGATGACACAACTGACAGGAATTAGCCTTTTATTATCCTTTATGTCTTGCTCTGCTTTTCATTTTTGGAGGCTCCAAGTATAGCCTAGTAGCTCCTAGTCAGGCTAATAGTGTGTGCATCCTAAGACCCTAATTTTAGGTACTCTTAAAATAAAAGGATTACTCTTGGAACTGTACGGACACTAATAATATATGGATATATGGATAATATGTATTTTGTCATTACTAAAATGTCAGCAGAAGCAGGAGGGAGTTAGGAAGACCCCCTCAGCCACAGATCTTTTCCCCACTGCTCCTAGAAGGTTTTATAAAGCCGTATATTCACAATATGGCCAAGTACTTCTATCTGACCTGCAGCAACCAAGATACATATGTGTTCATTGCAAGTACCCACAAAGTAGTATGGCATAATTGTCCCTTTGCAATAGTCTCCAAACTATTGTTTAAAATTGCCAAATGCATGTTTGTTCTTTATTAAGAGTAAGGCGACAACACAGAGTCTGCAGCTATCAGGAGATAATCGTTCCCCAAGGGCATTTGAGGCCCTTCACAACCAAAAGGTTGTGATTACTCTATGATTGTTACAATGCTTATTATTCCTTATTGCTTAATTAGGGAACCATAATATGTTTCCTGAATGCTGTCAGCTAAGTAACGTTCTCTGGTTGTCCTGCTCCGATCGATTCTGTTTTACCTGGACTGGGGAAATTTGTGGTGTTTTGGAATGACATGGGGGATAGCACGGACATGGGCCAGTTGTGGCAGCTGCATTCTGGCCCTCAGGACACCAGGATATTCATTTTCCTGCTTTGGCAGATGCTTGTGGAGAGACCTCTGTTAAGTTACTGGCTTCTCTATACCAGACTTGTACCTCTGTGCAGGCGCCACAGTAACTAATGCTGTATGTGTACTGAAAACTCATCTAATGTATTGGAGTTTGTCTTAACCTCCAGGAACTGACTCGGAGAACAAGCTAGGGAGGCACTGCTTTTATTTTTAGCATGTGCAAATTCAGCTGGCCTAGTTTGAACAGCTTTTGCTGGATTACAGTGGCAGAGGGGTGAGAAAGCAAGAAAAGAGGGCATTTAATGTCTTAAAATGCTCTGCCTAATTTATCAAGGCATATGGCTACAGCCCAAATGGCCTGACTGTCAACGGAGTTGCATTTGATGACCCACAGTACTGTTCAAATATCTTAAGACTTAGTCAGATTTTCATCTTTGATTAAGTTAGGCTGAAGTATTTGTGCTTCATGGGCCTCAGCTTTGTAATGTGCCACCTGCAGATGGTTTAGGACATTTGCAACAAGCCCTCTGAAGCGGGTGGACCACACTGCTGAGTTACGGAAGAGCTTTGGTGTCTGCATTCACTGCTGATTTAGGGAGTCACACTCAGTTCCCTGAAAGAACATGATTTGGTTTTACATTGGGCGAGTCTTGCATTTTTCTTTGGCCTTTTCCTGACTTACTGGTCATAGAAATCTGCCTTGACAGGCTCTCTTTTAAGTCAGTGATTTAATATTTGATTGCATTTGTATCCTAAGGATACATTACCTAAGGAAGAAGCCATGCAGCCTATATTTTGACATTAACTGTGTTTTATGCACGTCTACATTTAGGAAGAGCTAGTGGGAGAATGGGTGATAAATTTCAGGTTCTAAACCATCCCCTAAATTTCGAGATGAAACTCTTCCTGAATTTCTTTCCTTAGGTTTTGGTTTATACAAACATGAAAAAAAATAGAATTGATGAAATTCTGTTATTATTACAAGGTTGGCATAAATTCTTAATGATGTGGTTGCTAAAGCAGCAGTTGATTTCTTTTTTTTTTTTTTTCTAATCCCTCTTTTCGTAAGTGAGATACAAACATTTAGAATACCTGGCATTGTAGTGCTCTCTGCTAGCATACATCTTCCGTGCTCTACAAGGCTCTGTATGGAATCCTACTAGCCGGCTGTTGTATCATAAATAGAATTTGTTCAGGAAATAAAAATGCATTGTTTCCATTGTTAAAGGATGCTACTAAATTGGCTGTATGTTTGCCTAATAATCACATCTAAAGCTGATTATTCTAGTAATAGCCTTAAGATATTATTTAAAAATAAATATATAAATGCAGTACTTTTGTACTAATACTAGTTTTTAATCTCTTCTTGTTTCTATGAAGTCTGAATGAGATTTTCAAAATTGAATAATAATTTGATCCGTTAATCTTTTGAAGCTAGTAATTTTATTTTCCCCTCTTTGCAGTCTCTGAGGCTCGCAAATGAATAGAGCTTCATTACTGGAGTCTGCATTTAATAACCATTATCCATTATCTTGTAATTAAGACTCCCTGTAACGAATCATGAGGACAATGCAAAAATACATAGTACATTTCTTTAATGAACTGGAAAATGTTCATCTTGTTCTATTTAGTAATGAGTTGCTGAATAGTCGTTAAATCCACTGGAGAATAGAGCTAGATGGATTTTGAAGACTATCTTGAGTTTGTGGCTAATCTATTAGAATTAAAATTTCATCTTCTATTTTTATCAACAGCTGATTAGAAGTCATTCTGTTTGACCAAATTGATTAGAAGACCATATACAAGGGCAGCTGTTGTTTAATGAAAGTTTTTAATGAAACTGTACCGTAGAGACTTGTAATTATAAGACTTACAAAAGCTTTGACTTACCTTATACTAGAAAAAAAAAGAAAAGTATTGCACTGAAGGACTTTAAGCACTACATTTCAAAAGGGAAATTAAAAATACAATTTGGCAATGTTAAAGTTTCTCTTCTGCTATTATTTGTGTAATGTGACTGTTGGATGTCCGCAGTGCATCCCTGAAAGAGAGTAGTTCCAAAGTTGTACTTCTGCTGTCTCTCATATGGGTACAGTTCTTTGCAAAGCTCAGTAACTACTAATTGCCTCTTTTCCATATTTCTTTTTCTCCGGGGTTAGATCTTTGTTCGTGAGGGTTCATTTCTCCTTAGAAAGGGAGTTGTCATATGATGGTGCAATTCAACCACTAATGGGCTGAGTTAGTGCCTAGGCTGGAAGCCTACAGAGAAGACCTAGGTTCCATGTTGATGATACAGCTGGAGTTCACCTGAATTACTGGATACAGAAACATGCCTGGCTTTGTCCCGACTTCCCATGGGGCTGAGACCGAGGTGTGTGCCAGCCTTTGTGAGGGACACAGGGCTCTGCAGTACACAGCCAGGTGTGGTCAAGCAACTCTGCTTTTGAGCAAGGAGTGACACTGCTCTTCAGAGGATGTTGTAGAGGCGTCGTCATTCAGAGAAAAAACAGACCCTACGCCAGGTTTGAAGTGGAAGCAGATGCAGGTCCAATTGACTTAAGTGTATGAGGCACTACTGCACTGTATTTGAATTAGCCCTCTTCTCCTCTCGATTAATTTTGATAATTAATGATCCCATGGTACACCTTTTCCAAGAAGTAGCTTCCCAGGGATGAAGTACGCCCTGATGCAGTTAAAGGAGTTTTGTCATTGTGTTGTGCCAATGCAGGATCAGACAGTGCCAACCGTTTTTGTGGGGGAGACTTTCTTAGCTCTTTATAAACAGAATACTGTATTGAAGGATTCATTTAAATCCAACCCAGAACAGCAAGCATTTATAAAACCACTACACAAGTATTCAAGATGTACAGTAGGACAGGACGGCAGCGTACACAAATGAGAAGGCAGGGAAAAAAAGCCAACATTAACTCTGCTTTTTTAAATAGCACAGATGCTTTTGACCTTGTTTTGGCATTGTATTTGTTCATGGCTTAAAATACATTAAATTGCAATATTACAGTTACAAAATACATAAGAAATGAGTTTTTTTCCACTGTTTGCAGTATCACAGAGCTGGTTTTATAAATACACATGGGATTTCTTTCTTTTTCTTTAAAGAGCTGTGGGAGATAGGTTACTTGGCTGTCAAATGTGACACTAAATGGATACAAAGTTTAATTAAAAACCTGATGAAAATTGTTTTTATTCAAAAAGATCTTTGTGATAATATTAAAATGTTGATTTATAGGTAAACATTTTTCAGAGGAAATCATCTACCTTATTGTGATTAATTTGTGTTACAGGTTTATGCTTGCATATATATACGCATACATACATAGATATAGGTAGATACATATATACACACCTACGAACGTATGTATAAATAGTCTTGAAGAGATTGTTGGTCTGACAGCTGTAGCAAAAAATTAAGCACTGAGGTGCTCCCTTGTCCCCTTCCTCTCCCTGCCCCAGGATGTTGTAATTCCTCTGAAGTTTAAGGGTTAATTCCACTATCACAGAGGCAGGAGGAGAAAAGCTTCAGAATTATTGTAAGGTATAAGGATATTCTTGGAGGGCATGAAAGATATTTGTGCAGATTTGTTTTTTTTGGGGTTTTTTTTTTTTGAAACTAACATAAATGCTTTTTACTTCTTTCAAGGTTCTGATTTTATAAAGACGTCTACAGGAAAAGAAATCGAAAATGCCACTCTGCCAGTGGGAGTAGTTATGATGCGAGCCATTAGGGATTTCCACTGGGAAACTGGCAATAAGGTGATTCTCATTGCTTGTCTAGAGATCAACCACGCAGGTTTATTCGAAAGAAAACAAGACCCCCAGTTTTAAAGTACAAAGCATACAAGTCTGCTTACATTAGTTTCTGTGATACTATAAACAATAGGTGATGGGCCTTTGCTCTCACATTCCCTGTATTCTTTGCCAACAACTGCTTCATTTTCAAAAAGAAGAGCCACCAAGACACCTTGGACCTTCCTCCCGTGACTAGCTGTGGTTCCATTCCCTCAAAACACATGTGATCTTAATCCATCCCCTGCTGCTTGGTCTTTGAATGTGTTTAAATGATCACCTCCATTTAGGGTAGCTTCCCATCTGGAGTTGACAGGCATTGGCACAGCTCCATGAACTTCCATGGAGCTGCACAAATTTACAGCCATTGTCCAGGGTACATGGCTGTCTTTTCTGACTTTGGCCAAGGGGTAAATTCTGCTTTTCTCCTCCTTGGTCGGAGAGACAGGATGGTCCTGAGAGAAGTGGAGCTGGTGGGATGGAGCCTCTTGGGAGCAGGGATGGGGAAAGGGGAGCATAATGTCCCAGGACATACTATGTGTTGGACAGGTTATGGTCATGGGAAGTGGGCAGGAGTGAGGAGCTTAGGGCAGGCCTTGTGATGGGCTGCCCGTGCATCCATCTTCGCACCAGAGCGGGACAAGAGGAGGGAGTTTCCTTAGGAAGCCTTAAATCCCCATTGCACCTGCTGTGTCCCGGGACAAATGGAAGCCCACCATTTAGACCCAGTGCGGGTGTTTGGCAGGGGTCTGTCTCCATACCTGTGCCCTGGGGAAAGGAGACCACGATGTTAAGTAAGATGCTCTGCCCATTTCTGGGGACCTCTCCAGCTGGCCCTTCTGCGGGTGGCCATGTGATGGGATGACGGTGGGATGTTAGGGCATGGTGTGAGTGCTGGGATGGGGTCTGAGCTGGCTTTGGTGGGTGCTGTAGCTTACGGAGCACGTGACACCAGGTCAGATGCACTTCCATCAGCTTTCCACAGCAGTCTAGGTGAGGCCAGCATGGATGCTGCACCGCTGCCCACTCGTCCCTTCCCCAGCCCACATCTGCCCGTGCTGCACAACAGCTCCAGGGGCTCCCAGAGTCTTGCTTGGGTGGGAGCAGCGTTGCTGTCAACCTCAGACCAGGTGCCTGTCCTCAGCACGTGTGCAGACCGGACAAGCCATCAGCCGAAGGGGAGGCTTTGCTGCTTTATCACAAACTTTGTGGAGATATTGGCAATAAATGTGGAATTTACCTTTGGCGTTAGAAGAACGCATTCGTAGTATAAAATGTGTTATTAAGAAAGAGTGCTTATGTCTGCATGCATGTGTGTGACTGAATAAGATGTAAACTGACTTTATGTGCTTTTATTAACCGAAGACAATATTATCAGTGACAAGAGATTTCTAAACGGTTTCCTTAACAAACTAATTTTGCTGCCGAGGAGATGCTTTCTAGCAAGGCGTTGGCTGGGAAAAACAGGTTAATGCAGAAATTAAACTTATTCGAGGAAAGGAACAAGTTGCAGAGTAACATTTATTGAATGATAAGCTGTGGTGGTGATATGAAAAGTGTGCAATATAATGGGAAATAATCTTTTCCTGTCATTATTGAAGGGCATACATAAATTGGTTTTTCTGTTGGGAAAACCCCCAATCCAGAAAAACTTATTACTTTTAATAATATAAGGTGAAGAGAAAATTCTCGAGGAGATGAACTTATTAAGCAAAATAATGAAATGCTGTGAAACAGCAGGAAAGTGGTAGCTGGACTTTATACTGCTCTTGAATTAAATGCCCCCTTCCTCCCCCTCTTTTTTGCATTTTTATGGTAGTCAGATGTGCCATTTGGAAAGCTGGTAAATGGAAAAGAGGAGAGGCTTGTCTTTGTCAGCTTTTTTGCAAAGAAAAGACCTTTCAGAATTTGCTTAAAGGGAAAGAAATTCTGCATGGTGTTTTTTATTATTTTATTAACTGAGTTTTACTAGGTTTTGCTATAAATTATCTGAAAGAGGTATAATATTTGCAGGAAGAAATATAAATGTGAATTTGATTAGAATTTCTCTTCCTGAGGGAAAATGCATTCATACTATTTTCATTTATTGTCTAGAAGATGCTTTTCCAGTTGCTGTGGTTTAAATTCCTTTTGGAAATCTAATGTTAACAGATGCATGCATACACTCACACATCCATCCATGCACATAAACACAGTCTTTGTGTTTTGAATTTATCAAGCTTTTCCTGTTACTATTCTTCATAATCTTATTGGAAATATACTGTTATCAGAATGCTTCAGTGTGAGAGAAGGATTTATTCTATGCTTGTTTTTCCCAAAATCACTATAAAAATTATCATATCTATTTAAATAACAGATACTTTTTTTGATTCTGTTAACATATCTATAAGATACAGAGAAATCATCAAGGCAGTGGTGTTTCAGGAGTGCACACACAGAAATCATGATAATTCTCACAGAAGGAGACTAAATGGAAAGGACTACCCAAGATAAAGATTCATGATGGGGGGAAGTATAAAAAGAATCGCATTGTGCCACTACACAGATGGTTCCGATTTCCCTGATATTTGATGCAGAAAACTTGTTGCAAGTTCTCCTTGTTTTCCAAGGATTTATTAAGGATTTATTAAACTGCTGCATGCAAGCTCGGTCTCAGGATGAGATGTATTTAAATGGCATGCAACCAGAAGTCTGGCCTTAGGAGAGTCCCCACTGAGTCTCCTGCTTGCTGGTTCTGCACAGAAGATTGGATCAGGGGCATCAGGGAGTGTTTCCCTAAGGACAGGTATCTCCTGGCATGTGTCTCCTGCGAGTTCATATAACCGAGTGTGACACCCAATCTGTCACCAAGGCACTGAAAGGGTATCCAGCATGTGGGGGAAGAGAAGTTTCACAGCTCTAACACTTTCCATTTCTGGTGAAGTCATTCCCACCAGGAAAATAGTTCACAAAGTCAGCAAATGTACTTTTGGGATGGATTATTTTTAATGAAAAAATAGATCACTAAATATGTTGGCATTTAGAGCTCCAGTCATGTATAACTGTTGTGCACAGGCTTTCCATAAAGCGCAGTCATCTCTTGCTGCTCCCCATGTGAGTGTAGTCACATCCTGTGTTTTATTTCAGCATTTTGATTTTATATGGTTGCATGTGCGTTTGTTGTTCTAGATTTGGACCTAGATTGCAACATGGATAGCAGCTGATACTCAGCAGTCCTAGGTTTTGCCTAAATCCCTTGGCCTGATATTTGCTAATGGCCAAGTCCTCTCTTGTACCTCAAAACCAGTTTGTGACACTTAGTGAAATGGGGTCTAAAGTGTGGCTTCCCCACTCCTCATTGCACATATATATGTATATATTCACATAACAGGCATTTTTAGGCTGCAGGTACACAAATGTTAGTTGTTCTTTGAGAGACGATAATCACTAAAATTATATTCCATTTCTTTCTTTTTTCTTTATAAAGGTTGGATTTAAACCTGCTGGAGGCATTCGGACAGCAAAAGATGCTCTTTCTTGGCTTATGCTAGTGCATGAGGAGCTAGGCGTGGAGTGGCTAAAACCAGAGCTCTTTCGCCTGGGTGCCAGTAGCTTGTTGGAAGATATCGAGAAACAGGTCAGTTGTTATTAACAACTTTCAACTTGGTGCATATGAAAGGTTATCTTTCTGCCTGTGCTGGCTTACTGTTTTTGCGGAACACGTTTTGTCCTGTTTGAAAGACAATGGAATGCACATTTAATTTGTTATTAATGACAAATTCACTCCAGCCCAATGTTTCTTTAAGTTTGGCCTGTCATTACGGGGAGGCTCTGGTGTTGTGGGCAGCTTGCAGTCGCCTGGGCCAGATTCACAAATGCAGTGAGGGAAGAGGCTCGACTCGTACATAAACAGGGGCTTTTTCAGAGGGATGGCAGCTGCTGGCACTTCTACTGACTCTGAGAATATTTTGCAGACCCTCCACATCACTGTGCTGCAGCTGTGCACCCTATATTTCCATGCTATGGTGAAAATCGTGTCTCACTCCACATAGGATACTGCCAAGAGAAGTCTTACATACATTACAGTTGCAATTGCAGCAGCTAATAGTGTAGTTCCCAGTAAGAAGAGCGGTTTGGACCTCTGTGCCTGTGACCTACCTCACTGGGATCTATCCAAGATGGAGCAGAGATGAACACATTGTAGTGTCCTAAGAAGTATAAGCCACCAGGGCTGTTGAACTTTTTAATGTTCATTAAGCCCAGGACATCAGATTGTACTAGCTCCAAGCAAGAAAAAAATAGGAGTCCTTGTACTGCTGCTTCTGGTGGGAGAACACAAATTGTAAGGGAATTGGGGACAAAACCTATCAGTCTGTTCCTTTTTCCCACCTTCCCTAGCATCGGGAGGACTGGCATCTCTTAAGAAATGCAGAACAGCTGAAAGGTGAATACTCGTGACTGTTAAAAAGCCCTGTTTCCTTCGTGCAATGAGAATAATAATTGTCTTGGTTCCCTACTGGACTACCTTTGTCATGCACTTGACCTAAAATCATATCCCTGGTCATGGCTTGAGCATTCCTGTTGCCACTGCCGTTGTGGCTGAGTCTTACAAGATAGCCAGTGTGTGTGACGACTTGGCCTGGTGTCCAAGGGGAGTGATGCTCTTGCTTGCCAAGGATTGCACTGAGCCCCCAGTCATGCTCCAGGCTCAACTCTGCTGGGACATCTGAAAATACAGAAGGCAAAATGCCCCAGTCAGGAAGGTTAATAGCAAACTAGAGAAAATGGGGAGATCCCCCTGAGTCATAAGAGTTAAAAGAATCTTGTTGCTTCAAAGTAAGCAACAAGACTCCCCCAAGTTCAGATCCTATGAGCAAGAATAAAAAGATATGCACATTTTTTTATAGGTATGCACACAGATACGCAAACAGATATCTGTCCTCTTCATCTGACATGCCTTTAGTTTGTTACTTTCTTAACATAAATTTATAGTTGTATATAAGTCTGTAATTTTTCTTTTTTTCTTGCAGATTTTCCTCCATGTGACTGGCAATCACGCAGCTTGTCATGACCTGCCAATGGCTTAGGCACAATATCAACTCAAGATTACTTTTCATAAAAAGAGATCTTTAAGAAAATAAAACCCAGAAATCTTCTGATATCCAAGTGCATATGATAGAATTAATTCTCCCTTCTTCATATTTTATAGTATTTAAAAAGATGGTCTGGTCTGCCAGTTGTGCTTGATCCAAAAGCAGAAAAAATGGTAATTCTGAAATAGTTAAATAGTTAATATATACAGATTTGTGAAGTTAATCTTGCAAAGTCTTTCCTAGACCAGCCTGAAAAGCTTATTAATGGCAACACTGAAATACTATGAAAAAGATTTAAGTGGCCTGGCAACACTTTGCAGTTGCAGAATATGAAATATCTCTGGAATGTTTCACATTGCTAATTAAGAGCTACAGCTCTTGGAACAGCTTTCCATTCACCTCAGACTAAATCTTCTGCCACAGATATGTTGCACTATTAATTGTTATGGTGATTCACTTTCAAGAATTGTAACTTGAAAAAAATGAAACTTGGCTATTACTTTCTTTTATAAAACGTCTTTGTAGCAAAACCCTTTTTTTGTATTTCTTTTTTTTCCCCCAAACTTAGGCACAGACATCCATATTTAGACCCTTGAATAAAGGTGGCTTGATTTCCAGAACAGCTGAGTACCCACAGTTGCTCCTGAAGTTAATGGGAGCTTTGGGTGATCAGAACAACTGAAAATCAAGCAACCTCTATATAGGTGCCTAACTATGCATTCAGAGCTCTATTTTTAGGCATTTCACTCCTAAAATTTTTGTCTAACTTGCTTGGAAGCTCCCATTCCTGTCCGCACTCATTTTTAAACACATTCATGTAAATCTTTCCATTTTAATATAGACATTTTTGGCTGCCAGTTTGCAGCTGTCGCTGTTTTACTGGATGAACTTTGACTTTGCCATCTACAAACAACTGTAATTTAAAAGCCGATCTGAAATGTGTTCTGCACTGAGTTTGCCATGTTCTTTTACACCTTTAATGTAAGAAGTACTTTCCTCAGAGCCCATTAATAATACCCAAATCATCAACACCTTCAGATTATCAGGCTGCAGCTAGTAGATTCATTATTTCAGAACTGCATTCCACTCAGTAACCAGAGTTGTACTAAAAACTTAATTATCTTATCATCATGACTAGTCTCACTGACTTAAGTAGGTCTCATTAGGGAAGTAAGAGGAGGAGGATTTTGCTGCAAATCAAGCTACAAGTTACATTTATTACAAAGTGATCCTTGCTTCATAAAGATGATAATTCAGTTATTTGTCTGGTTAAACCATCTGAATTGCTAGTGCCCTGTAAAACATACTGGACAGCTAGGAAAGTTGAAATGGGAAGAGAAATTAGAGAATACAACATATGCAGAAAGCCTAAGCCTGTATGCAATGCTCAGTGCTAAAAATGTGCTTTAATTTCCCAGGAAGGAGTTCATGTAAGGCTTTCTGCCTTTTCCTGTTTTAGGTCTCAATATACAATAGGGCTCAGTAGACTAGACTGTGACAATATTTTCACACATTTGTTTTTATGGAAAGTGGTCTTTTTTACCACAGATTTTCTTTCTGATCCCACTGCATGGTTCTTGAAGGGAAAACTCAGTGTTTTCTTGACTATCTAGGGCAAAATTCAAGCTTGAAATTTCAGAAATAGCCTATTATTTGAAGCTACGTTGCATGTTTTGCCAGTCAAGCTGACCCTCTGTCATATTGTCTCAGCAAGTTCCCACTGGACTTTGCTGCTGTTGTTGTTCTCACCATACCATTTAGAGTGCCTTTAGTACTTATTTTCCACTTCCCAGTCTACCTAGGCAATATGGCTGGGAGAGGTTTTTCACTGGTTGTCTTTTGTACATTTTGTAAGATTCTAAGGGTTCTGCTTAGGTTCTTAACAAGAGCGCAGCTTTCCCATCTTAACTATGAGCACATGAGTACCTCTACTTGAGAACTTGCATCACCAATTTCATGGGAGCAACTTGTAGATTAATGAAATAATGAACCTGACAAGAAAAACTGTGCATAGTTATGCTGATGTCCCCCTCATTGTGAGGTGCACCCCCCTCATTTTGAGTTGCTTTTTGTTTTTTGTTTTGTTTTTTTAAGGAACAAGCAGACTGCTCAATGTAATGTTGTGACAGGTTTTCCGTGGCTGTTGACTCCTCTGTGGCTCAGGTGGGTTGTATCCATACAGCCATGTGGACCCCGAATCTGATCCAGTCACTTGTCCCTCACTCCTCCTATGCAAGATAAGATTGAGGAGCATCAAGGGCTCCCAGGAACAGCCAGCAGATGAACCAAGGGATGTCCAAGGATCCCAATTGGGGCAGCAGGAGACATGGAGGTAGAGATGAGCTCCAGCACACTTCCCATGTGCCCATCCAGGGGACGAGATGCCCCAGCGGACGTCTTGTGCCACCTGGGAAGCAGAGCCAAACGTGCTGGAGACCGGCACCGTTGGGACTTTGTTGGGAATGATGGTCCTGTGCTGAGCTGAAGTAGGGAAGGGAATTGAGTAAGAAATCTGGAAGCTTCTGTAGGAACTTACTCTAGAGGAAGAGGGAATTGCAGAAAAAGAGGTTCAGCTTTATTTTCATGGAAAGAAAAAGAAGGTAGGAAGCAAAGAGACATTACATAGTAATTATATATGAAGTATACATGTGAGCTGGAGCAAGTAATGCTTTGATATCTTTATTTCATCCATATTACAAGTTTGTTCATTCCTTCTCTTTCTGAATCACAGAACACACGTTATATACCATAGCACATGCTACTGAGACAGAAAAAGAAAGATCTCCTTTTAATTTTATTTTGCTCAGTTGGAACTTTGACTTTTTGCCTCCCCTGGGAAAACTGCAGCAGGTTGCATCCAAATCTTTGTGAGCTTTTGCTGAAATTACCAGTTTTGACATCTGGGTGATATATAAAAAAAAAAAAAAAAAAAAAGAAAAAGTGCATAGTAGAAGGAAGGAATTACTTTTAATTAGATTCAGCCTGCCCAGGAGAGAAAGACGGAGAAATGTCCATCTGGTCAGTTCTTATTTACTAGGGCAGCCAAGGATAAGAATATTCTTACTGTGTGAAGACACAGTAGGTAAAATTAGCAGTTGGACATTGTTATTAAAATGCTCGAGAGTCTGAAATATGCTAATTTTAATAGTGGTGAAACTTAGGAAAAACTATCGAAAAAAGGCTGCAGACTTGCTAAAGGTAAGAGTGAAAGAGTAAGCAAGCAAGTGATGGGTGACCATCAAATCCAAACTGGGTATATTGCAGAGGCCCTACCTTTGTTCTAGACAATTTACCGATTTTTCCATTTCTGAGAGGACCTGCACTGTGTACTAAAAAAAAAAAATGTGCAGGGTTGTTTTAATGTCCTTCCATGAAATTTAACATGGATGCAAGAAAAAGTGCCTACAAGATGCTCCAACCGCTAGCCATTCCTAATGAGTTTAGTGATTTTAAGGGTCTCTGTTTTGAGCACTGGGGACATCTTGTGGATTTATAATTCTCAGAAATTGCAGAAAAAGCTCATATTCCGGAAGTAAAGCTTTCCTGAGGCATAGCAGTTTCAGACTGCCAAGATTACAAGTTGTATTTGAAAACATGGAATTGTAAGAGCGTCAATTTAAAGGTGCTTCTTTAGTTGAGATGAAAACAAACCATTTTTCTACACACACAAAAAAAAAAAGGAGGAGTTTTGAAGGCCAAGCTGAAAGAGATTAACGTAATTTTCATATGGTAAAATGTTGTACAAAATGAAAACCAAAATGCATGGTGGCTTGCCTAAGAAATAAAGAAGTGTAACCTCTATAACCTTAATTCGATAATGGCACGAGATCTGTTTTCATTCAGAGACTCAAACAAATTACCACCTCCTTACTGTCTGCATCTTACAAATAGGCAAAGCAACCAACCAGTTTCCATGGCTCAGCTAAGGCCAATTTACAAAGCAGTGGCAAAGATGGTTTGGTTACGGGTTCCCATCACTTCCATAACTGGAGAACCAGCTGCTCCTGCAGGCAGGCTTGGAGTTCATTGGTTCAGTAGGGAAGAGGTTACTCCAATAAGGTGCAAAAATCCATCTTTAGTGATTGCTGTTCCATCAAGGATATTTTTTGCTCCAGCACTCAGAACTTGGCAACTAGCTTCCAGGAGAAGCTGGTGAATACATGTTCTCTAGGATTTAATTTAATTACAGGGAAGTTGATTAAGGATGTTATCCTCATTTCCAGGGCAGACGAAACCTCCAGCCATCCTTGTGTGGGGCCCTGGCTGGAGGCTGGCACGTCTCACTCTTGGCTGCTTTCAGCAGAGTCTTGGGCTTCCATCGGAGCACAGGCACCATCTCACCCAGGGTATGATTTCTTGCTCTAACTTATTTAAGGGCTCGAATTGAACTAGAACAAAGGATGAATATTCGGGCTCTGAGCATGAAATGATTTGTATTTGGGTAGATCTGTCCAGCTCCAAAGACACAAATGCCATCACTCCCTCTGATAGCAGTTGTGAGGAGGCCCCTGGAAGGCTGGTGGTCGGTAGGATGAGGTAGGGAAGCAGAAAGGAGAGGAGGAAAACGGTGAAACTGCGCGTCGCAAGAGAGATGATCACCACCACTGTTACTGCTTCACAGAAGTGTAATCATTTGTGATCTCTTTGGAACAGGAGGTAAATAATAAAACACAAGGGAGGGAAAAGAAATTAAAATAAATGTGGTGTATGAGTGCATGTTAAAACAGATGTCAGATTAAAAATGACTGAAAAGGAAATTCTACTGTAGGGGAAAGCTGCTTTTTCCTTCAGCATTTCATATTCCACCTTCATTAGGCAGAAAGCAGAGGAGCTGCAAAGGGAAAGGGGAACTTTTGTTGTTTCCCTGTGAACGCTAAGAGAAGCCTAATGCGAGCACAGGGGGACGTGCTGCGGAGCGTGGTGCTGGAGCAAGTCTCCGCGTGACTCCCAGGAGCAACGGCAGGGATGTTAAGCAGATGCGCTCCGTGCGCCGAGCGATGGGACTTGGAGCTTTAAACTTGCAGCGCGGCACATCCAGGTAGTTTCATCCTCCCCATCCTCCCATCAGTCCCTCCAGGGCAGAGCAGACTTCTAATGTTTTCAGAAAATAAATCCTGCAATCTGGTAGGGTCACCTTAGCCTGAAATGCTCCTCTACCTACAGATCTAGGCATCAGGGACTTCATTCTGGTTTCTTCAATACCTTTAAATGGACTATTTCAGTGTTATGATGACAGCAGAAACAGGGAACATCTACAAAATAGGTATTTTTTTCCCACCTCATGGAAGCCAGGCCACACTGATCTTTGGAGATGGCAAGCACCTGCAAAAATACTGCGTATAGCCCATAAAACAGCATCAGCTGGGCCTCCTCTGCTAACTGTGGCTCCGAATGACTCCTTGAAACTCATAGTCTGAA